GAAATTGGTTTTCCACAAAACCAAGGAAATGGTAAGTGTGTGAGCCAAACCAAGAAAATGATTTTCATGGCAAATTTTGGTTATCAAAAACGCTTTTTGGAGAAGATGAAATTTTATTTCCAATTTCCATGGAAAATCCTCCAAAGCCTTTAAATTTGCTATAATAGTCACTCTTGAACATAGTGATATTTTTCTGCCGTTCAGGAATCAACGGTACGAAAATGATAAAGTGGAAGTAATCAAAAGTATAACAGAATAAGAAAATTCTTGCAATTACTTTTCCAATATTTATAAATTTGGAAAGAACTGATAGAGGATTGCATAAACCTATGAATTAGCAGAGGTAGGAACACCTCCTCTTGCTCTAATTGAAAAACTCGAACTGCGAGAAGGTATTCTATTCGTAGAAGACGGATCTATAAACACGACCACGACTGTGATATCATCGTGGAAATGTCTCCTTACACCTCGATCAATCTTTTTCAAGTCTGAGTATCGCATTTCTCTTTTCTTGGCTGCCACATGAAGAGCAGCTTTAACAAGTCTCCGAGCAATGCCCTGCAAAATAAGCAAAAACAAGAAAAAAATTGAGTTTATAATCCAAACCTACATGTGTCAATCGCTTGCCACCACGACCGCAGATATAAGGCCATTTTACTGCTTTTCTAGCATCGCAAACTATTGTAGAGATCCATCAACATGTTACAAAGCTTAAATTTACTTAAAAGTAACAGTTGTTCGAAAAGTATGTCTACCTACTTTTCAAAGAGGTATGATAATAAGTAACGTTTAAGCTCAGCCTAACATAATAGTATTGAGAATTTGTGATGGGCCAATGGGGCATGGTGTATTAACCTTGCTATACACCGTCGTTTAGCTTTAATATACACTAGCTAACACCCTTTATATCCAGTTTGACAAATATTTTGATTTTTTTCTTTTTATTTTTCCCTATTTTCTCCATTGAGAGGTCAAATCCGATCTTTTACATGGTTAAGAAAGGCTTACTTGATGGGGGTAACTGTGGACAATATCGACAGCCTCCTGGTTGCTAAGATGCTCCCACAAACCATCAGAAGCAAATATGAGAAACCGATCCTTGGGATTGAGCTTGTGTACAAATATGGACGGCTCTGCACTAAGGATTGGCTTGTAGAAGGGTTCGGATAGCCTAAATTTTGCCAATAGTGGTTCTCTGTTGAACTCCGACTTCTTGAGATAGGCATCGCCAATAGATCTCGAGACCTGTTAAGACAAGATAATAAATGCCATGGATAGACAATGAAACATATTGTCCACCTACCATTCAATCATGTCTGCAGATTGCTGGATAAACTTAATTTATAATTTCCTGTTCTGAACATAATATTTATTATGGAGTTATAATATTAAGTTCAAAAGGTACCCAAAACACGTCGTTTACTTAAAAAGAGACCAGAAAGTCTGTAATCTCCTATCGACAAATGATATCCAATATGATTTTTCTCATTTTTCCCGTCATCACAAACACAGCAAATTAAGAAAAATATTAGAAAAACATTCAAAGTTGAAAAGGATGTCAAAAATTATGTTCAAGCATAGAGAAGGAGATAAACAACTACATTGTACAGAGGATTTCTCTAGTCAATATTAGACATTAGACTAATCGACACTTAGGTTGCTAAAGTCCTGTGGATTCTCTAGATCTGGAAAATCATCAGACAATCAATCCCTTGGTTGTTTTCAGAACAAGGCACTACTTTTTCCGACATAAAATATAAAAGGAAGTGCAGAAAAAAGTAACCCGTAATGCTGTAGAAAAGAGATTCAGGAAATTACCTGTATGATACCCTTAACACGCCAAACTTTGTGTTTAAGAACCACAATCTGTGGATCGTCGGGATGCAATAATTGTAGTTCAGACCTAATAGACTCAACATTAGCATTGTGCTCTGTTGATAATTGAATAGCTGTAACTCCTTTAACGGCCTTATCTACCCTGCCCAACACCACACGGGAATCTCCAGCATTGGCAATATACAGTAGCCCGTTGCATATTACCCCGACCAAACAACATGTTCCTACTGAGGCAAGTTGAGGTTTATCGAGCCATTGATGTCTCACTAGAGAAAGAAATTCCTCCTCAGTTGCCAAGAAAGCCTTCTTAATAACATCCGCCGATATTTCTTGATGCTCAGAGGCAAATTCTGTTTCAGATACACCAATTAATTCACTGAAAACGCAATTACAATTCTTAGTGCGCTTCAAAAAAAAATTAAGTGCTTGGTAAATTAAGCTGAGGAAGTATACTGTAGTTCAACACACACTTCAGGCACATATACATTGTCAGGCATGAAAACCCAAACTTGCGCAAAACTAAAGGATCTATAATACTAGAAGTCGACTGCTCTTTCTTTTACATTTTTCTATAAAATTAACCTTTTCCCCTATGGTAAAGCAGGAGTCAAGAAACTTGTAAGCCATTCCTGGCTTACATGCATAATTGTGTTCATCAGTTACTTTTATTTCTTCAATTTTTTCCCGCTCAATGGGATTGTGTTTCTCCCACTCAATGAGAAAGTGTATGATAACAGAGTATTTGGACTTCTTCCGAAAGAGAAAAGAGATAAGGTTCGACTTAAAATGGACAAGAGAATTCCTCGATGAATGGAATGAAGCAACTAACTACTAGCAGGTGTTTCTCAGTTTGAAGGGTAAAATGCTAGGCAAACCACGGCTAAAGCACCTGTTTATCCCAATCCCACAAAAATAGTGAATATCAAGTGAGTGGAAAAGGAAAAAAACCAGACCAAAGGCGTCTATTTAAAGTCATTACTCATTACATATTACTTAAGTGGAGGATATTGATTTCCGATTTATCAAATTTAGTACCATGAATTACGTCAACTACAATTCAAAGTCACGTAGTATGCTACTTCTAGAATACAGTTAGTCTTTCGATTTGATCAAATTAGTGAAGGCAGCAATCTTTTTGCACATTTACAGCTTAAAAAATTGAGACTTTGTGGATAACAATATCAATGAGTTAGGCACCCAAGGGAGAAGAAGACATACTCTTGAGATTGGGGAATAGGTTTTCGTTTACAAATCGGGATGTCTCTGGTCCACCATGTCCATCATAGACTCCAACGAAAGTACCATATGGCCCTGAACTAAGCGAACCCAATGACCCCGATTCAAGCTGGCTTTGATCCTCCAATAAATTATTGGCTTGAATCACTGCCATTGAAAATTCTCCATTTACATGAGGTCCCAGATCCTTGTACCAAAACAATCCATCAACTCTTCCATTTGGATCACCCCATCGCCGACTCCCGTCTCCTCCCCTCCTACTTCCATCACCATCCACCAAAGGTTTCCAACAAGGCTTAATCATTTTTATACTACCAGTTATATAATGTATCTCACATACAAGCTACATATCCAAATGATCTAAAATCATATATAAGTAAACAAATCCTACACACACCATCATCATCATCTAAATAAACCAGCAAATAATATTCATGAAGCCGAACATTAACGACAGCTTTCGCTTATGTTCTAAATCTACAGAACCCAATTCTTATAAATATACACAAAGAACCAAAAGGGTATGGGCAATTGCTTCCCAGAAACTCTGTCCCTAAAACAAGGAAGCAATAGTTATTTAGGTGAGTTCAGAGAATATGGAGGGGTCCTAGTTTTGCGTACCATGAACCTGGTTGAATTTATGTGGACCTTTGTGTCACCTTTCCACAACAGCCTTAGCTGTACAAACCCGTACAAGATTGATTGTGACAGAGTTTGTTCCTGGATCATAGGGATCAGTGGATCACAATGGGGCAAATGGATAACAAAAAGAAAACTGGGTTTTGGAATTTTCTTGAAAGAAAGAAATCTTCTCAGATTGGTTTCAGAATGAGATATCAGATTATAATTATGATTTATGATCATGAAGGGTTGAAAGGGAGGAAATAAAAAGGGGAAATAGAATTTTTTATGAAAAAAATAAATTAAATTAGTAGTTTCTTCTCTGACAATTTCTTTGTTTTTTTAATGCTATCTCCTAATCTCTCTCTCTCTCTTGTTTTCTTTGTTTTTTTTTTTTTGTAGCCAGTGGTTTACTTGAATGGCCAAGATTTTTGTTTCTTGACACTTGCAAACCACCATTTTAGGCAATTTTTGCTCATCTCATTGAGGTGTGCTCAACCACCTTATTTAAAAGTCAAAAAACAACTTATTAAAATAACCTAATTTAATTTACATTGTTTTAAGGTTGATTTACATTCAATTTCATTAAAATTTGTTTACTTTTTTTTCATAAAATTTCATTAGGTTTGAACGTATTCAAAGAGGGATTTCTAGTGATATACCATCGAGAAAAGCATGTAATGAAGTGTACAAACATTTTCAGAATTTTAATTTTTAAGCACGATCAAACATATCGTAAGTAATATAAAATTGGTTGATCGAGACTCATACAAAAGTACAATCACATTCGATACAAAAAATTGTAAAAATGCATATGCTTCCATTGAAAGAGCAAAGATTGATGTTAGAATCTAAGATGAATATTGTTGTTCACCTTGGAATATTCATTCATTCAGAAATGCTCCGTCATTTGTGTATACCGAGAAAGAGAAAGGTATGATATGACTTATAATTAATTATTTTAAGTGTCATAAGAATCAAGAAATAGAATATGTAGTTAAGCTAAACACATGGTTAAGCATGATGTAGATGGAGACTATACTCCAAATCCAAGATGAATGAAATAGTTTACATCACTTGGAGCATTACCCAACAAAATTTACTCTCCGGCGGAAAGGATTAGAATACGAGTTTACATCATTGATCATTAACATGAAAATATTTGTAAAAGAGAAAGGAAAATATTGTTCATCATATTAGAAAGGATATTGTGTTTAATTCAACCTAACAAAACCGACTTGTTAGGGGGAGGATTGTCCTCACCTTATTAAGTGGATCGCGTAAATATCATCAACCAATGTGGGATTCTAATACGCCTTCTCACGCACAGCGTAGACCATGCCAAACAACTGTGAACAAATCGATATTGGATGCACCAAACATTGCAAAACTAGGCCTACTTTGATACCATATTAGGAAAGATATTGGGTCTAACTCAACCGAACAAAATCTACTTGTTAGGAGAGGATTATCCTCACCTTATTAAGTGGATCGTGTAAATATTACCAGCCAATGTGGGACTCTAATACATTGCTTTAGAATACAATTTTCTTTTAAAATTTTAACTACCTTTAGTAAATAAGTTGTTAAATTTATTCTATATTGAAAAATGTGACTGTTATACCAATGTTGATGTTGGGAGATCTTGAAATTCCATTTTAAATTTTGTCGATCCAAATACTTTAACATTCGAAATCACTCATTACACTTCGAATATTTTGTAAAAGAATCATTCGGATCCACATAATTACCAGAATCAAACCCGCAATCGAACCGTCATTTTGATTTCTGGTTCGATTTTATCCATAATATTTTTTTAAAAAACGTGATTTGACAATATAAATTATCTTTTCAATATCTAGTTCCGTCGCAAATAAAGAACCAAATAACATCAACTATTTAGCAAAATATACCATTAAGTAATAAAATGAAATAGTTTACATCACTTGGAGCATTACCCAACAAAATTTACTCTCCGGCGGAAAGGATTAGAATACGAGTTTACATCATTGATCATTAACATGAAAATATTTGTAAAAGAGAAAGGAAAATATTGTTCATTGTATTAGAAAGGATATTGTGTCTAATTCAACCTAACAAAACCGACTTGTTAGGGGGAGGATTGCTCTCACCTTATTAAGTGGATCGTGTAAATATCATCAGCCAATGTGGGATTCTAATACACCCCCTCACGCACAGTGTAGACCATGTCAAACAACTGTGAACAAATCGATATTGGATGCACCCAACATTGCAAAACTAGGCCTGCTTTGATACCATATTAGAAAAGATATTGGGTCTAACTCAACCTAACAAAATCAACTTGTTAGGAGAGGATTATCCTCACCTTATTAAGTGGATCGTGTAAATATCACCAGCCAATGTGGAACTCTAATACATTGCTTTAGAATACAATTTTCTTTTAAAATTTTAACTGCCTTTAGTAAATAAGTTGTTAAATTTATTCTATATTGAAAAATGTGATTGTTATACCAATGTTGATGTTGGGAGATCTTGAAATTCCATTTTAAATTTTGTCGATCCAAATACTTTAACATTCGAAATCACTCATTACACTTCGAATATTTTGTAAAAGAATCATTCGAATCATTCGGATCCACATAATTACCAGAATCAAACCCGCAATCGAACTGTCATTTTGATTTCTGGTTCGATTTTATCCATAATATTTTTTTAAAAAACGTGATTTGACAATATAAATTATCTTTTCAATATCTAGTTCCGTCGCAAATAAAGAACCAAATAACATCAACTATCTAGCAAAATATACCATTAAGTAATATTCAATATCTAACAAAGTATATATACCAAATTACATACTCAAATAACAAACTAGAAACCAACAATAAGAAAGTAATAGATTCTAAAAATTCAAAAAACAACACAAATTCATTTCTTTGAAAAACAATATGAATTCATTCATCTGAAAACATGGTGAATTAATTGTAAAAAAAATGAAAAAAAAATGTAAAAATGATAGATTCAGTTGAGAGCTGGGGTTCCCACTGTTCTCAATTCTTGGTTCCAGTTCTTTATTTTTTTTATTGGGAAATGGACTAGAACATCCGATTCGTTCAATTCAATTCCAATTAAAATGTCCACCCCTAATTTAAACTTCTATTGAGAGCTCACAATTAACTTGTGTAGAACAAGCAAAGAAATCTAATCAATTCTTTATCATATATTTGAACAAATCATAAGTTTTCCATAGTTTTCTCAGAAAGTATGAAATACTAACTGCTAAATTAATCAAAATCTTAGTTTTTTAAGAGAAAAATTAGGTGAAACTGATAATCAATTGAGTCAGTATCAATAATGTACAGAGGGCATCGACACAGAGAAAGCGATTGAAAGCGATTTTTTTCTGTATTTGGATAATGTATTCACTGGATCAAGTGTACCAATTAACTCACCGCTGCAACTGCAATTTTATGGGTTAGATTTAATTGAAGCCGGTCCCCAAGAACTAGAAAAATTTCTGCAATTTTCACATTTAAGTGTGACATTGAAATTCAATAATTCATCCTCTTTTGAGTAAATTTGGTGGATCAATGAGAGTACTATCTTTTAGTTTGTTCGACAATTTTTTATGACGTGTAAATAGAATTTGAATTCACATGAAGTTGTGACCATCTATCACGGGAAAGTGAATTAAATGAATAATGTTATGCAGTACTATTTGTGTCAAACACTAGTTTAAGTGGTAATTACATGATTCATTTAATTGAGATTATCAAGTGCAGTCATTTATAGGAGTGTTCGGCACCACTGGGGTTGATAGTAATTGTAAGATATTCTCTAGAAATTCTCATGAAAGCATATTTATTTCGTGTTCTGTGAATAGTCGAGATATTAAAGAATATTTTGAAAAGATTATACATCTGGACTAATCTCTTTAGTTTTTACTACTTTATGTGACTATCTTTTGACCGAAAATAGAAATCCAAGAAAAAAGACATTATTATTACTCAATTGACTCTTCAGTTTCATGGCCCCGAGCTCTTTAATTTTTTTGTTAAGCTGTCAAGGTTGTTTTATTACTATTACTATTATTATTATTACCTATATGAAATTCATGTCACATGAGTCGAAGTCTGTTTTGACTTGGTCAAAGGAGTTTGCAGGTGAAGGTTCAGACACAATAAAAAGAAATCGAAGTCGACTATGGGAGGTATCATACAAAACATCATCATGACACAATAGAAGAAGTGCTTCCAACTAATAGCAGTGTTATCCAAGCTCTAGACCAACCAATCAAGTGGATGACAAGATGACTTAGAACAAAGGCCTAAGGCCTAAGCGCCATCTTAACTCCACTATAGCCAATCCACCAACCAATCAAAATTCCTCGAACGAGAGGCGGCACATAGTCATAGATTGGAATATTGTAGATTGATATGACTAGGTCGGCTAGTTTTAGTCCACGCGCATAAATAAAGGGACGATGGATGAATGAAATGAGATCAGTACTAATAATTTTTTTTGTATAAACTTAAAGTTCCAAAATTAAAACACTTTCATTTAATTCAAATCCACAAAGTTGATCAAGAGTGCCCCATCATTTTTCGTCATTAACAATTGTTATTATGTAAAACAAACAAATGCAGTTATCATGTATTGATATGGGATTAAGATTTTAAAGTTTTAGGCTAGTACCTAAGTCATTATCTTCCTTTTTTTTTTTTTTTTTTTTTTTNGAATTGAGCACCTCTTTTACAGTGGCATCAAGAACTGCTGGGTTATGAATTGATCACAAAATAATAACAATAATGAAATAAACAATAACAAATAAGAACAACAACACTTGTGTGAAATCCCAAGTTGAGAAAAAATCACAAGAGAAGAATTTCATTATAATCCATAATGAATGTGTTTACAATATCAAGATCTCAATACTATCAATTGAAATCTAAACTCTCTAATTGTCAAGATATTGTTGAATGTGTATATGGAGATACAATAATGTGGAATATATATAGGGGCCTCCTTTTGGACCTGGGATGTTTTTCACGACATGGGCGTCAAAGCTCAGCGTTGCAACGCCTGGCTCTCTGCCTTTTTTCCTATTATGGGCCCTGCGACGATGGCGCCGCGATGCCCACTTTCGGTAATTATGCCTCTAAAATATTTATTTCATCTCGAAATCATTTTCCAAGCCAAACTCCCCATTCTTGATGAAATTTGATCTCTATTAATTAAGACTCCCAAAATCAAAACTCTTTAAACTTCTTCTATTCAACCAAACACCAAATCACATAGAATTTGGTTCACATCACAACAAATCTCCACCTTAAACCAAATACCAATACAATGAATTCAAAAACACATCTTCAAGTAAACACTACTTCTTCTCATCTACACAAGCCTCAATGGGCTAAATCAATGACAAATACCTACTAAGTTAAAACAATGCTCAAACTTAGCAATGTGAAGTGGTTTTGTTATCATATCAGCAAGATTATCCATAGTATCAACCTTGCTCTCTACAATATTACCATGAGCAATCACTTCTCGCACAAAATTATACCTCACATCAATATGCTTAATCCTTTCGTGAAACATACGATCATTATCACAATATACTGTAGAAATCTGTAAGTTTTCACTAATGTCATCAATCAATCATCGCAACCACATAGCCTCCTTACATGCCTCTGTAATGACCATGTACCTTACCTCTGTTGTATTCAGCTGATAACACAACCTCCAAGGGTAAACACATACTTGTAAGTGATCTCTTTTTATCAGGATCTCTTGGATAATCTGAATCCACATAATCAATTACTCAATCTGTATTTCTTTCAAAACGTAAAGAAGCATTAGAAGAGCCCATCAAGTATCTGAATATCCACTGCACTACTTTCCAATGTTCATTGCTAGGGTTTTGCCATGTATCTACTAACGCACTGTCTGCATGAACAAAATCTGATCTTGTACAAATCATAGCATACGTGAGTGAACCAACTGCACTGGAATAAGTAACCAGAGATATGTAATCAACGTCTTCATCTGAATGAGGACACAAGTTAAGATGATAATTTAAAGTGAGTAGTCAAGGGAGTACTGACGGCCTTAGCATTCAGCATATTGAACATTTCAAACACCATCTCAATATACCCCTTCCGACTCAAATACAATATGACTGTCTTCCTATCCCTCACAATTTTCATAGTAAAAATCTTTCTTGCTTTACCCAAATCTTTCATGTCAAACTCCTTACTAAGTTGAGATTTCACATTCATGATCCTTTGCTTTATCCTTGACTACTATAAGCATATCATCAACATATAATAACAAATATATGATCAATCGACCATTTCCCTTTCTAAAGTACACACAACTATCATAATTACTTCTAATGAAATTATGAATAGTCATTAATGAATCGAACATTTTATACCACTGTCTTGGTGACTGTTTCAGGTTATAAAAGTACTTCTTCAACAAACATACATAGTCTTCCTTTTTAGAAACTATGAAGCCCTTTGGTTGTTGGATGTAAATGCTCTTCTTCTCAAGTTCTCCATGTAAGAATACTATTTTGATATCCATCTATTCAAGTTCTAAGTCATTCTTAGCCATCACTCCAAGTAAAGCACAAATGGAACTATGCTTCACAACTGGTGAGAACACATCTATGAAGTCAACGTTTGAAATCTGACTTTCTTCTGTTTTTCAAAGACACAATACTAAAATTTTTTTATCTTACTGGTATTATGCCCGTCAAGAAGCCCCATTCTACTCAATTCTGTCATACCATTTTTACTCATATGCTTGAGCCGCATATACCAAAGTTTTGTAATTTCGTCATCTGTCAAAGAATAAATAAAAATTGTTGAATCCCCTATTAGTGTGGAACCTTGCAAAATGTACAACTACGTAGAGCTTGTATGCCCCTCCATGACAACAAGAGCACCTCGGGTCACCTTCAAAACTATACCTTCACTAGTGTATCTATAACCCTTCCAGTTAAGTGCACTCAAAGATATGAGATTCTGCTTCAGTTTTGGAACATGCCTTACATCTGTAAGTGTTCTAATAGCTCCATCGAACATTTTGATCATGACTGTACCAATTCCGACAATTTTGCAAGGCACATTATTTTCCATAATCACCGCTCCTCTCGAAATTCATTCATATGTTGTAAACTAGTCCCTATTGTGACACATATGGAAAGTACACGTCGACTCAAGATCCTATTCCTCACAAGGTTTGGAACCCATGTCAGAAATCACAAAAAACTCTCATTTACTTTGCCCATCTTCCACAACATCGCCTCCACTGTATTTATAGGTTCGTTTCATTTATCGATAGCACTAGCAGCCTTATTTCTGTTTTTACAAGCATAGCAATCAGCTCTAATATGTCACTTCTTCTTACAAAAGTTACACATTTTCTCTACATGTTTAGATTTTGATATGGCCCTCATATTTCTACCAAGATTCATATCTTGATTTCTCCTACGAACAACCAAATCTTCAGCATGACTCTCATATTCTCCAACAAGATGCCTCATCTTCTCCTTAGATAGTAAAACATCATAGACCTCTTCCACAATTAGAGTATCCCGACTATAAAGAATAGAATTTCTAAAAGTCACATATGATAGTGGTAATGAACACAACAACGTCAAGCTAAATCCTTATCTTCATAATTAACTTCCCATGTCTCTAAATCGGCCACGATTTCTTTGAACATAGTTAAGCAATCATATAATGACGCACTTTCGGACATCCGATGAGAATATAAGAGCTATTTCAAGTGTAGCTTGCTGGTTAATCTCTTTATCATACAGAGTTGCTCAAACTTCAATTACAATTCAGCACCACTTTTCTCCTTTAGAAAATCCTGGATAATTTAATTTGAAAGATGTGGATGAACTTGATATCCGATGTCCAGGTTGAAGGTATCTTATCAAAGCCAATCAGGACTTCCTCCAAATCCATCTGCGCGAGAATTACTCGCATCTTCACTTGCCATAAAGTAAATCTCGTGTTTCAATTCAATAATATTTCATCAAAGCCATGCGGAAAAACCAACCTTGCTGTGAATCACTTGTTATAAATTGATCATAAAATAATAACAATAATGAAATAAACAAGAACAAATAAGAATACCAAAATTTATGTGGAAATCCAAGATAGGAAAAGACCACAAGAAGAAGAGAGAAATTTCATTATAACCAATAATGAATGTGTCTCAATACTCTCAATTGAAATCTAAGATCGCTAACTCTCAAGATGTTGTTAAATGTGTATATGGAGATATAACAATGTGAAATATATATAGGAGCCTATTTTTGGAGTTCTAGATGAAAAAGAAAATATAAAATCCAAAAAAAATCGAGATAAAACTCGTCACGATGGCACCTCGGTGCCACCGAGCACGGGGTGCCCTGGTGCTGCGGCGCCCCAAGCACAGCGTTGGGCTCTCTGCTCCTCTTCTTGTTACAGGTGTTGTGGCGTCGCAACACCCAGTTTCGATAATTATGCCTTTAAGATATTTTTCTTCGTCTCAAAGTTATTTTCCAAGCCAAATTCTCAATCCCTGATGAAATTTGATGTCTATTAATTAGGACTCCCAAAACTAAAACTCTATAGATTTTTTTTCTATTCAACCAAACACCAAATCACATGGAATTTGGATCATTGTATCAATGATCTGCTGTTTTGCCTTTGGCATGTTGACCAGGATTAATGCTGAGGATTTTTCTGCACAAGTCTCTTGATCATTGTCATTTTCTTTGTTATCCTCCTCTTCGCTAGAAGATTTCACAACACAAAACTCCAATTAGAATTCTTGAACAAGATTATCAAGGAGTTCAGCCACTTGTATGAACGGGACACAAACTGGAAAATTCTCAAAAGAAAAAAACACATTATTATATAGCTAATGTAAGACACATGTTTAATGTTGTCACAGCAAAATTTTCTGTCCGAAGACTGATTTGAATTCTATGAAATGATATTCCTTACATTTCCTCATCTGTCTTTGAATCATTAAAATCTTGATTCAACTCGAGTTCTCTTGACTGATCAGATATGGTACTACTTGCAGAATTTTGCTCAAAATTCTTTGTGACGACGGGGGACTTGCGATTTTCAGGTGAGTTGGCTTCACTCGAAGAACTCAAAATCTCTTCGCCTGCGGGAATTTCATGGCTTTGTGAACCATTATGCTTCAAAATTTCCTTGCTCTTATCTGATAGAATTGACAGCTCTAATTCGGGTAAAACATTTGATATTTTATTGCATTGAAGCTTTTTCTGTAGAAATTTTAGCTTCTTCACGACTCTGTTTCTTGATTTTGTCTCTACTTTCAACAGGCTCTCCAGCTCCACCAGCTTTAAAAAAAACAATTAGAAGTTGAAAATTGATTATAAAAATTAAGAATTCAAACAGATGTAGTAAAACCTTGGTTTCTAATTGGTCAGCCTCCTCTTTAGCTTTTCTTGAAGCTACTCTTTCTGCAAGCAATCTCCCTCTTAGACACTCCACTGTCCTCACACGATAATCTTCTTCCATAATTTTCTCCGTGAGAAATGTTTATACATTTCACATGTACAATGGTAATAGTTAATATATATGTATATAAAAGCAAAAAGTACCTAAAATTTTCAGGGTTAAATTCACTGGTGGCCTATATTTGGTGTCACCATGGCCACCCAATTTAATTTTAGTTTACTATAGCCACTCAACTTTATATTTAGGGTCACAATGACCATCCAATTTGATTTAATGTCACCAAGGCCATCCAATTTTATATAACGTTTTACTATGACCACTCAATTTCATATAACTTTTTATCATAGCCATTCAACATATTTTTACTATTTTCATTTATTTTAAGGGAATAAAACGGTAACTTTGCATTATATATATAAAATAAGTTTTTAAAAAATAAAAACTTGTTTAGAAAAAAAAACTTAAAAAGTTTATTTTAAAATAAGTTTTTATTTTTATAAAGAACTCTTTTTTAAATAACTTTTTATTTTATTTTATTTTTTTAACTTTTTTTTTAAAAAAATAAGTTTTTATTTTATTTTATTGCTTTAAGTAACTTTTTTAAAATGAGTTTCTTTTTTTTAATGAGTTTTTATTTTAATTTTTTTAAATTTATTTTATATATATAATGAAAAGTTACCATTTTACCACTTCTAAAATTAATGAAAATGGTAAAAAGAAGTTGAGTGGCCATGATGAAATGTTATATGAAATTGAGTGATCATGGTGAAACGTTATATAAAATTGGATAGCCTTGGTGAAATAAAATCATATTGGATGGTCATAGTGACGCTAAGTATAAAGTTGAGTGACTATAGTGACACCAAGTATAAAGTTTGGTTGCAACCAGTGAATTTAACCCTTTAAAGTTTTATTGTACTTCATAGTGTACATACTTATCATTATCTTTGTGTACCTCTAATTTCGCATTTTCTATCTTAAATAAAGGTACAATGGCATGCAAACAAAGAGCTCCATCAGCAACAGAGAGGGAAATGGAAAGTCTCTAATTCTCCCTCTACCATCCTGTTGGGAATAGATAATAGCAATGCAAACACCAATGTTAGTATAACAGAGTTCTACAGGTTCACTTTTAGCCAATATCAGTTCAAGAACCAATCTTATAACCAGCATACCATAATGTAACCAAACTACTGTAAAAATCACAGCATACAGCAAGCCACAGTTCACAGCAATCAATTGCTCAAACCAGTATACAGTTGCATATACAAAATCAGTAGATTAAATTAAGGATAGAAACCGAAAGCTAGAACATTAAATGTACAGAAACAAGGATAAAAGTATAGAGCTTCACTTCCTTTTCTCGGTTCTTCCTCCTCCATCCATGGTTGAAAGGTTAGGCTCAGGAACAGTTTCCATGCTATGCAAAATCGCCGTCCATAGAGAGTTTAGAACCATCCAATGTCTCCAACAAA